GGTCAGCTTGAGGGTCACCGTGATGAATGGGACAGTTCAGGTTGCAGAGAAGCAGCCTGGGGGGTGGGGGGGCACAAACTACCATCTCTTCTTACTCCTCACATGTTCTGATATAGCAGAGGTCCTGGGATACTCACTTGCCTGGCATTTTCCTGGGTTCCTGTCAGAAGCAAAGAACAAAATGAAATTCACAGGGCCCAGCTGTCATGTGGGGCTCTTTACGAGTTGGCTCATGTCCTTCTCCCTGATGTACCAAAAATTCAATGTTCCAAGATGCCAGCATGTTAGAGAAATTAATGCTCAAGTATTATATTTTGATTTGTTGTTCAAATGAAACAGGCAAGCAAGATGATTCATCCTGTAAAAGCATTTGTCACCAAGCCTAACCAACACATTAGATCCTTGAGCCCACATGTTGGAAAGAACTGACTTCTGCAAGTTTTTCCTCTGAGCTCCATGTGTGCATATATATTCACACAGATATACACATATACACATATAAATAAATAAATAACAGGATATAGAACTGTAGGCAACTAAGAAATACTTAGAGAAGAACAAAGTCTTCCCTAGGGAAGAGCCCTGAAATTATTCAACCAAATGGACAGCTCTGAAATCATATATATATGTGTGTGTGTGTGTGTGTGTGTGTGCGTGTGTGTGTGTGTGTGTGTGTGTATATAGTGTGTGTGTGTATGTATATGTATATTTTATATGTGTTTGCATGTATATATGTATATATATGTATTGTATATAAGTGCATATGTATTTATGTGTATATATACATATATAAAATATATGTAACATTAATGTGGACTCAGCATGCAGCAGGTTGTGTATATATATATATATGTATATGTATATGTATGTATGTATGTTTATGTGTGTGTATCACAAAAAGGAAAAAAAGGCCAGAGGCCATGGATTTGTGGGCATGTTACACAGGAGGTCTTGAAGGGAGGACAGGGAAAGGAGAATTTATCTAATTCTGTTTTCATTTCAAAAATAAAAATAATATGCCTAATAAAAATTAAAATAAATGAGTGAGTAAAACATGAAGTGAATGGTTATATAATCTCTCTTACTATAAAACCTTGAACAAAGCTGTTAATGAGATACTTACTGTTCATGACAAAATGATTTGTATATCAGCAAGAATGCACAAGTAGTGATTGAAGATACTGGGATTTGAAAGGCAATGCTAAGTTAATGGCATGTATAGAGAAAGGGGGACACTGAAGTGTAGAAGCTGAAAGAGCTAGAAATGGAAGAAGCTCATAAATCATTCTACAGGTGGCTGAGGACGACCAGAGATGCAATACGGTTCTCTTTCACCCTTCCTTCCATTCCTCCATCCCACTTGCTTTCCCAGCTTTCTTCCTGTTCCTCCTCTCCCCTGGTGCCTTCCTAATCTCCCTTTTAATACTCTCTTTTCTCCTCTGCCTTTTGCCCTGATAGTTAGTGAGGGCTTCATCTATGCCTGTTACCAGAACATGTCTATTTTAACAATTATATGTATAAGTTAATTATAAGTTAATAATAAAGACATTTAAAAGTTTAATAATGAACATTTCTATTGCTATATAAAGAAAGCAAGGCTTGGAATAATTATTTATCAGTGTCTTATGTAGGTGGTAGAGCAAAGATGGGAAATTAGCTGCATTTCAGGTCTATTGCATACCTAGCACAAGTAAGTGCTCAACTGTGGTGGCAATGAGCTTCATAATGATACTGGTATTGATGGCAGAGAATGCCATAGTTACAACATATACTCTCAAGGTCACATGGTAGTCAGGGTATATCTACTTCCCTGATTCCAGGCAACTCTTCTCTGTAGAACCAGGTTAGCAAATATATAAAAAATCTTTCCAAATTCAATGTCATTTTAATGCTTTCGAGTTTTAAATAGAGCTATTAAGTGCTACTAGAAGCAATGGTGAAACTATTTTAGTCTAATATTTGTTTCCTTGTAGACAAAAATGTATAGATTATGTGTGCTTCCAACTGAATTAAACTAAAGATAAAGACTTTTCTACATCGGGGAAATTTAAGCTTTAAGCCATTGTTGGGATCACATTGACTCCACATTACCTGGTGAATTTGGGATCATCCTCTCTCTCTCAGATGCTAACTAGTCCGTAGCTCACACCCAAGGTTAACTGTTTACTTACAGCCTCAAGACTATGGGTTTATCAATCCATTTTAGCAATTTGCCTTGGGTGAGCGACAATGTAAGTCCAGGTTGTGGATGTCTGGTGGATGCCATGCATTCACATCCCTGCCAAGTTAAAAAAAAAAAAAAGGTCTACCTTTGGCCTCAGCCTTAGTTCTGGTTATCACTCCTACTGTTCATTTCCTCTGTCATAAGGAGGTACTAGGTTGGGCTTAGTGATAATCCTGAGCCTCATCAAACACTGAAGGGAAAACACCAAACCCACACTACCTACCTGACATTCATTTTTCATTTCAACATGCTAAAACCATGCCTGTGTTCCTTCCAAGTGCCTTCATTAGTACTTGCTACTCCAGAAAGTCTCACAAGCTTCTCACTGTTCAGCTGAAAGCTATGAATAGTCCTACCCATCAGGAAGGTCCTTCAAACTTTTTGTAGAACCTAAATCGCTCCCATTGTTCTGTATTTACTATATTTGCACTATAAGAAAGAAGGACTTTGGCCAGGCAGTGGTAATGCACTCCTTTAATCCTAGCACTTGGGAAGCAGAGGTAGATTGATCTCTGAGTTCGAGGCCAGCTTGATCTATAGAGTGAGCTCCAGGACACCCAAGGCTATACAAAGAAGCCTTGTCTCAAAACCAAACAAACAGAAAAACTAGGACTTTGAGGGATAGACTTAGTCTCTCTCTCTCTCTCTCTCTGTCTCTCCCCTCTCTCCATATACATGCATGCATACATACATACATACATACATACATACATATTAGAAACAATCTTATTTTACATACCAATACAAGTTCCCTCTCCCTCCCATCCTCCCATGCTCCCCACTGACTCCCCCATCCACTCCCCAGAGAGGATGAAGCCTTCAAGGGGGATCATCAAAGTCTATCACATCATTTGGGGCAGGGCCTAGACTCTCCCCCATGTATGTAAGCTGAGATAGTATTCCTTCAAGGGGAATATGCTCCAAAGTTCATTCATGCACTAGGGATAAATAATGGTTCCACTGGCAGAGGCCCTATAGACTGCCCAGGCCTCCTGACTGACACCCACTTTCAGGGAGCCTAGTTCAGTCCTATGCTGGTTCCCCAGCTGTCAGACTAGAGTTCATGAGCTCCCATTTTCTGGTTGTCTGTCTTATAGGATGATGGTTTTATGACATTTGGGCAGACTCATTAAACTGATGTAATAATGAGTTTTGTGGTAGGCACATACCATTCAATGACAGATTTAGACAAAACTCACTACTCTTATTTTTTAATTTTTCCAATAAAAAACAACTGCTTCCACCAGCAGGTAGAGTTGAAAAAGAATTTATGAACCAGAAATCGACAAATAATGGCTTTGAAGTGCTTATGGTATAAAACTACTCAGAGTTTTTGTTTATTTTGTTTGCTTATTTCCTTTTATTTGGGTGTTTTGCCTTTTAAATGACTAAGAAGGACAAAAGAAAATAATACTTTATGACACATTAAGTTTGCATAATATTTTAAATAGAAAATGAAAACAATGTAACATCCAAAGATTACTATAGTTGTGACATTTTCTTAGAATACAGCCATGCCTCCTTGTGTGATCCATTGAAGACAAACTATATACCAAGATGGAAGAGGTGAGGCGCATCCACAGAGATCACACATCTCACATGATTTAGGATCAGGCTTGTCACAACAGCATGCTGTGTCCTGTTCTGAATTTTGTTCTAAAGGGGGAAGGAAGTACAGTGTGGAAGAGGAATATGGAAACCTATATGATAAGAGGGAGAGTAGATAGTGGCCTAGAGTAGTTGGGGGAAAAGAACGATAGAAAGGAGAATAGGAAAAATGAGCAGGCTGAGATCTACCTGACAGTGTCATCTCTCGCAAGTTCTTTTTCTTCCCCCATTTTTAAAAACTTCAAATGTTTTATTTATTTTACATGCCAACCACAGTTTTCTGTACCTCCTCTCCTCCAGTTCCCTCCCCACACCTTCCCTCACTCCCCATCCACTCATCAGAAAAGGTAAGGCCTCCCATGGAAAGTCAACAAATCCTGGGAGAGTCAACAAAGCCTGGCACATCAAGTTGAGAGAGAACCAAGCCCCTCCCCTCTGCTTTGAGGCTGAGCAAGATATCCCACTATAGGGAATGGACTCCAAGAAGCTCACCCATATACCAGGGACAGATCCTGGTTCCACTGCTAGGTTCCACTGCCACACACAGACTAAGCTACACAACTGTCACCCACATGCTGAGGGCCTAGGTCGGTCCCATGCAGGCTTCCTAGCTGTCAGTCTAGGGTCCATGAGCTCCTATGAGCTTGGGTCAGCTGTCTCTGTGGGTTTTCCAGCTTCTTCATGCATATGCTGTCAGCATTTGCACAGAGGATTCCCTTGACTGGAAGGTATCCACCCCACCTTTTTGCTGTTCTCTTTGGGAACTGTGTGGTTCCTCTGGAGAAACTGAAAACTAGAAGGGACATATCTGGCAGGCGATCACTTGTTCCTGTGTTCCAAGGCTAGTTCTTTTCCACACTAAGATACAAACAACTCTAGGTCTCAACTATCTCTTATTCAATTGGTGTGTGTGTGTGTGTGTGTGTGTGTGTGTGTGTGTGTGTGTCTGCCGGCCTGTGGGTGTCGGAAGTCTGTCTCGTTGGAGGAACTCTTTGCTGACTGTGTGCTCATCATCACATACCATTAAATGTCTAGACTTAAAATAAAGATGTATCCATTAGAACTTGGCTAGAACCACATCAGCCCCTCAGAGAAGTGGAATTACAGTTCCTTAATTGTAGTAATATTACTGCCACCTTCATATGCTTTTTCCATTTTCTTGTTCCAGGGTAATGCCCTATACTTCAAATCTGCCAGGAATGTGACAGTGAACATTCTCAATGACCAGACAAAAGTGCTGACTCAGCTGGTGACAGGTAAGAGAAAAACAAATTGACAAATGACTCCTTCATCTGAGCACTTAGACAAAACAGACTTTCCTGTCCTGTGAGGTCCCACATGAACTTGAACAGGCTGTGTACTGTGTACAGAAAGAGAACTAAGCTTATAACCTCTGTTCCATCAAAAGGTTGAGTCCCATATCTTCACATGGTTAACTTACCAAGTGCCATTGCACTTGCCTTTGCAAAAAAAAAAAAGCTGTTTTTAATAGAACATAACCCCTAAACACAAACCAGCTGCTTCAACTGGCTCTCAACCAAGAAAACTTTTAAATTTTGCTGTTTATTTTTGAGAATCTCATACATGTACACAATGAGGTGTGATCATATATACTCCTCGTTTCCTCCCTCCAACTTGCCCAGCACACTCCCACCAAACTTAATGTCTCTCTCTCTCTTTTTATTTTTGTTTTTTTTGTTTATTTGTTTGTTTTGTTTTTTGAGACAGGGTTTCTCTGTATTGCTTTGGAGCATGTCCTGAAACTCACTCTGTAGACCAGGCTGACCTCAAACTCACAGAGATCTGCCTGCCTCTGCCTCCTGAGTGGTGGAATTAAAGGTGTGCACCACCAATGCCCTACTGACTTAATATTTCTTTATGTTAGTAAGCCACTAATTCCAATTAGTGTTGTCCACATATTCGCAGGTAGGGGCTGTTCATTTCACTATGGAAAATTTAGCAGTGACCACATCCTCCAAAAAGAGTAATTCTCTCTCCTCCAGCAACTATTCTCTGTTTGTAGTTCCCTGGTAAGGAACTATGCTTGGATTTGGCTGGCTTGATCTTCTATAGTCTTGTGCAGGGAACCACACATACTATAGGTTCATGAGCATTATAGCCTTGTTACATTAGAAGACAGCATCTCACAGCACTCCTCCCTATCCTCCAGCTCTCCTGTCATTTTGACCCTCATCTTCTGCAATGAACCCTGAGCCTTGATGGAGTAGGGGTTGATATAAATGTCTCATTAGGGCTGAGCACTTGTCTCTTTCTTTTTAGCACTTTCTGACCAGCTATGAATCTCTCCACTGATGGCTACCCATGACAAAGAGAAGCTTCTCTGACCAAGTGTGAGAGCAGTCTATGGGCATAAGATAATATTTAGAAGGCAATTTGGTGGCATGAACCTGCATGCTGCAATATAGGCTTACCTACTTGTGCCTAGTTGTTCAGCAGTAACACAGTAGTTACAAAGGAAACCAAGTACTTTTTGATTAGGTGGTACCTGTTTTTTCAGCAAGGCACTTAATGCCTACTACTGTAATCTGAGCCAAAAGCCCATGGCTTTGGAATCATAGACCCTAGGATGAAGCCTGCTGTTTTTAATTTGGGCAAGGAGTCATGCTGTCCAAAGTTCCCTTTACAACAGTGGAAGAAAAGCTAGCTATACTAAACTGAGGGCTGAGGGTGTGTGTGTGTGTGTGTGTGTGTGTGTGTGTGTGTGTGTGTGTGTGTGTGCATGCGTGTGTGCATGTGGGTTTGTGTGTGTGTGTGTGTGATATGTGAGTATATGATTGTATGTGTATGCCCTTGCGTATACATACATGTGTTCAATTATGTGTATCAAGGGCATAGGTTGACATCGGGTATATATCTGAATCACTGTCCACCTTGTTTTTTGAACAGCATCTCTTACTGAAGACAAAGTGTACTAGTTGGTTAGACTGGGTGGCCAATTAATTAAGGAATTTTGCTTATCTCTGCTCTTCCATCCCACATCATGCTAGTTCTAGGGTTACAAACACAGCTAGCATGCCCACCTTTTACATGGGAATTAGGGATCCAAAGTCATGTCCTCAGCACCTGCACAGCAGACACTTTACTATCTGAGCCATCTCCCCAGCTCCTGGAAAGGGACTTTTAATGATAGTTTGAAACATCATCCCTTTGCTCTGCTTGCTGTCCTTGAGCCCAGCTCGACTGCAAGCTCCAGATGTGTCCATACCATATATGTGTGGTTCTTTTTGATGCAGAAGATCTGTTCCTCAAGGAGGAGTTCATGCACCCCAGTCTGATAGCTGGGAAACCAGCATAGGATAGACCAAGACCCCCTGAATGTGGGTGTTAGTTAGGAGGACTGGACAATCTATGGGGCCTCTGGCAATGGATAAGTATTTATCCTTAGTATACGAATGGTCTTTGGGAGCCCATTCCACATAGAGGGATACTCTCTCAGCCTAGACACATGGGGGAGAACCTAGGCCCTGATCCAAATGATATAACAGACTTGGAAGATTCCCTATGGAAGGCTTCACCCTCCCTGGGGAGCAGAAATGGGATGGGATGGGATGGGGGTTGTTGGGGGGAACAGGGGAGGACAGGAAGGTGAGGGAACTGGGATTGACATGTAAAACAAGTTAGTTTCAAATTTAAATTTTAAAAATTACAAAAAAATAATAATCTGTTCTTTACAGCCATGGGAAATACCCACTAGATTTTAGGCTTTGAATTCTTACAACTTAAACAAAGATTGGTTGTTCATAATAATGACTCCACTGATAAGCATGGGCCTCATGGACACAATCATGTGTTGAGTGGCATGTTCAATGCACCCTCTGTAAGTTTACAAGACATGATAAACAGACAGGCATTGTCTACCCCACAGTGGAAGGGGAAAGTGTGGATCAGAGTGGCATTGTTAGACCTCCAGAAGAAAAGGTTATTTGACTTTGGAGCTGAGAGAAAACTATCCAGATGGATTTTTGAGAGGACAGTAACCCAAATGCCCTAAAACATTACTCTGAGTAGAATTTCCAAAGACCCAGTAGTAATCGAGTCACAGGAAAGCATGTGCCTTTGCACACAGAGCCCTGATCCCTGCCACCCGTCTCCCAGCAAAGCTACAGATGGATGTTCAGAGTTACACATAGCCCTGAGCTGGACTGGACCATACACAGCTAAGAAACTCCTTGGTCTGTGGAAATGCTGCCCAGTGGAGCCTATGATACACAAACTACTATTACAGCAAGCACCTGGACTCTAGGTTTTGCTTATATAATATCTGGCCTCCAGTCATCAGTGCTAAATAATTAAATAAATAGGTCCAGTAAGCAGTGATTTAAGCATCTTGTGAGAAAAATGCCTCCAGGAGGAAGATATATCCAACCTTCAGCTCCCAGATCCCAGGACTCAAAAAGAAGTGATCTAGCCTGTTGATTAGTAACCATTTATCTGCAGTAGGAGACTTGGTTTACTTGTGCTTTGATACAGCTGAAAATGACTATTACTCCTCTGAAGAAAGCCTGCCTCTGTGTCTTTCCCTCCCCCTCTTCTCCTTCTCTTTTTCTTTTTTTAATCTTCCCTTTCCTTCTAATTTCCCCTCCCCTCTCCATATTTATCTTCTCCTTCTCTTTCTTCCCACCCCTTTTTCTGTCCTCTTTGCTTCCTTCATCCATTCTCTACGTTCTTCTTTCTTCCTATCCCTCATTCCCTTATTCTTTTCTTACCCTTCCCTCTCCATACCCTACCCCTCTCTTCCTCCCAGCCCTTTTGACCCTCTGGTCTGCTCTTCTTCCCTTCTTTTCTCCTCCTATCTTTCTTCTCTTGCCTTCCAGTAGTCTTTTGATCTCCCATTCCTAAATTAATGCCTCTTAGGAGCTGAAAGACAGCAATTCTTACTTTTCAAATAAGGAAAACGATAAGCTAATTCTAGAAAAACCAAAAAGAAGTGAAAACAATGCTTTCTAGTTCCTGTTCTGTGGGACATATTATTACACAAAACAACCTCTCATGCCTTCCAAGCACTGCAATCCTGACCATTCTACAACTCTAATATTTACCCTGGAAATATCTTGAAAGTTCACCAAAATGCCCCGTGTTCCAAGTTCATCTCATCTTTTTGCATGAAGCATTACTTCCAGGGGTAGAACAAAAGTCAGGCAACCAGTGCATTTTGACTCACAAAGCTATTGATTGAGTACAACCCATCTATGGAGCCATGGAACCTAGGAGAATGGATTTAGGAGGGGAAAAGGTCCTAGTCACAAAGAAGAAATTAGGGTAATAAGCACTAGGCTTTTCCTCCCTTCAGTTTCCTGGTGGCCACAGTACCCCCACATCCTTGAGGCTTTGCCTTCTCTTCCCAGCTGGGGAGAGGAAACTGAAGAGTCACACATACACTGCAATGATAGAAAGGCATTAACTGAAGATAAGCTTCAAGCCAGAAGTCATGATGATTTTCTGTCCTCCAAACAGCTTTAGGTTCACTGTGGGCCTTCCAAAACAGTATCTACTTCTAGAGTTTCACTCTAGAAACATCTTTTTTAAGAGTCCAGCCAGCCATGTCCAGGGAATTTTGGCAGCCTCAGGTAAAACCAACAATGGACAAAGCTGTCTGCACCAACTAGCCAGTAGTCACTGTGAGGACTTTGGCTAAAACTATGTTTTGCTGTGCTTTATGTTGGCAAATGGTTCTGTGCTTTGGTAAATTCTATTCTATATTTTACAGTTCTCTGAAAAGTAAGACAACTTAATTGTGTTTTGTATGTTCTGTTTGCTATGCTCTATTTTAGTACAACCTGCCCACATAAGCCTCACACATCATTCCAGAGTCCACAGTGAGCTTGGGCTGTATGCAGGAACCCTGGAGCCATGTCTGACAATCTTGCCAGGTTCATGAAAGCCAAGACCAAGCATTTGTCTCCACTGTCATATCTCCATATGTCTAGGTCTGGATTGGGCAAACTGCCCTGACCTGTACATGTCCATCATGATGCTGTTCATTCATTTTTTATTAGTGTATTGTCTCTTCCACCTTCAATCTCCTTCCCTCAAAACAGTGTTACTATTCTTGAATTAACAAACAGTATAGATTTCACTTCAAGTTTTAATGGCATCAATAAGATAGCTACATCATAACTCACACAGGAAAGCCTACTCTAAATCCTTTACACATTGTTGTTCTTTAAGATTTCCTTGGGTTCTTTGTCGTTGATTTCTACATTTCCTCTTCCTCAGAAATGTTATCTCTTTGCTGTTCAGGATGTGCTGACTCCAGCCCTCTTCACCTTCCTAAACAGAGAGATATACTTTGTGTTCCATGTAGCATTCTGAGAGCTGGAGTCCATTCTCAGATTCTTCCCTGCTCTGACAGTGACCTTCCCTGCTCTGACAGCCTCACAGTGCCTTTTTTCCTTGTGCAACCACACAACAGCCTCCCCAAGACTCACAATGCTTGTGGATACTGTGTGATCTTTGCTGCTTCAGTCTCTGGCTCATTAAGGAACCATAAGGAGGTATTTTTGTGCCTCCAAAGTTCATTTTATGAATTTAGTATCATTTTATCTTTGCAGCTTTTCTATGCAGTCCACAGAGGAGATGATAATAGTTCAGTTTTGCATACACAGAAACAATAATAAAATGACTTTGCCTACAAACATTGCCAAAAGCAGAAAGGTAGGAGGATTTGGGGGCTCTAAATCCCATACTTGTGACAAAGAACATCATCCCAGATATATAAGAGCTGTTCTGGTTCTAATAGCCAAATCTCAGCCTAAACTTAAGTGATTTCACAAACATTCCTAGGTAGGGTCCTTTAGGAACCATGATGGATGGAGCCATCAACACACATACATACATATGTAAACAAGTGCTTAAGCTATCTTCTTAAGCATTCATGTTCTTGATTCCCCCCACTCTCTCTCTCACACACACACACCATTTCTGAACACAAACAAAAATATGAGCTTTCTTCAGACCACAAGATGCCACATATACTCATCCCAGGTGAAATCACAGACTGTTGTTTACCCAACACCATTTTAACATTGTGCAGCTCTGTCCTGCTTCTAGATGAGAGTTATTGGGGTGGCCAGTCACAAAATTATTCTCACACCCTGAAAATACTGCATCTAAATCTTGCTTGCTTAAGCCTCTCCCCCTTGACAACAGCCCAACCTGAATTTAGATCCCACAGTAAGTCCTTGCTACAGGTTTTTATCCCTATGTTTGTGTTTGTGTGGAAAGTGCTTTCTTCCTCCCTGCAATGGTTAAAGGTTCCTTGACCCCTGCAGATGAAGTCTGTTGGTCCTCTCACAGCTAGTTATTTTAAATAATAGTCACCTGAAAATTTCCTAGAAAGAAACAAACAAAAGTCACCATCAAAATCCCCTTTGCCTCTTTGGGAAGATATGATATTTCATGACTTTATCATCAAATTTTACTACAGGTTAGACCAAGATAGACTGTATTTGATCAGAGCTGGATTCAAGTAAAGATAATTTTGCTACTCAGATGCTTTCATGTAGAATGGCCTTTGGGAGCCACTGTATGAGCTCAGATAGACTTAAACAACTCTTGTCAGGTCCTTGGCTATATTAACCAGCTTGCTTTCTTTCTCTGGGGTTTCTGATGCATTAATAAATTGAATCTTAGGGCTGGAGAGATGGCTCAGTGGTTAAGAGTACTGGCTATTCTTCCAGAGGACCTGGGTTCAATTCCCAGTACCTACATGGTGGCTCACAACCATCTATAGTAGGATCTGATGCCCTCTTCTGGCATGCAGGCATACATGCAGAGTACTCATACATAAAATATAAATACATTTTAAAATTTGTTTTAAAAATTCAATCTGTATAAGTCTGACTCCATCAGAATACAGGTGTGATGGGACCAACCTCCCCACCCCCACCCCTTATGCACTACTGTAGACAGCCTATGTTGAAAAACAGCACTTGATACCACACAATGAACTCAAAGTACATTTTTTATTAAATCAATTCATACTATAAGAGACTTGTAGGGGAATTAATTATGATATAGCCATTTAAGCTTAGAAATTAACTATTGAAGAATTAGATTTGTCTTCGTGTCAGTCAGTGGTCAACAGACACATTTCAGCTCAACTTAAGGAAATACTTTCTGTTATTTACAACCAACTGAAGATGGTTAGTTCTCCTAAGAGATGATAATACTCTGGGTCCCCACACTTTTGATCAAAGCCCCCAAGTGTCTTGACACTAATTTGGGGACTAGCAGAGAGAAATCTCATTCAAGCATTCTTATGAGGAAACCTCTAAAACCACATGCCAAGACCATATGATTAAAAGCAATTAAGATGAGATGCAGTCAAGACACTGATTTCCACAGTCAACTTCAGAAAACCAATCCACTTAACATTAAAATCAGACACAATCCTGGGAAGTGCATTTGCCTTATGAAAAGCTTTTGTAGTCTAATTAAATGAGGCTAATATATTCCTCCTCTCTTTCTTTCTCCCTCTTAGGTCCAAAAGCTGTGGAAGCATATGGCAAAAAGTTTGAAGTAAAAACAGTTTCTGGAAAATTGCTCTTTTCTGCGGATGACAGTGAAGTGGTCGTGGGAGCTGAGAGATTGCGAGTCTTAGGTGAGGGAATTTAAACATGTAATCGGACGGATGCTACCATGTATATTTCAAAGGGAAAATGACGTGGTGCCGTCCACTGAATGCTGTGCCTTCTCCCAATGCACATATTGAAATTCAAACCTTCTAGTATGGCAGTGCATGGAGATTACGCCTTTATCAAGAAATCCATCCCTGAAGTTGATTGGAGCTTTTATCAGTAACATGGGTTCCTTATAATGAAATCAAACAGCTGGTTATTTGGTAATTTGCACTCCGTTCTCCTCTCCTCTATTTCTCTTTCTCCCCCCTTTTTTTTCTTCTCTCTTCCCTCTTCTCTCTTGTGTCCCTTGCTCTTTCCCTTCCCTCTCTTATAAAAATACAAGCAGGATTTGGCAATCTGTATCTAGAAGACATCCATCCTCAGAAACCAACCAGACTGACATTAGATCTTAAATTTCTAACTTCCAAAACTGCAAAGGAAAAAGAAAGTATGCTATTTTAATTCATATGCTCACTAGTATATTGTTATAGGAGCACAAACACAAACAAATGGGGAAGAGAAGTGTAAATGAGGTCCCTTTCCTAGGTTCTTTTAAAGCATGGACCTGCATGGACCCTTATTCCCCCAGTGAGCTTTTCTCAAACCATGAATTCATGTTGGTTCCTGTTTCAACCATGATCTTTGGGTTTCAGTGCCTGCTCATATAAGGAAGTATTCATATAGGAAATACTTTTCTTACAGACCAGTAGGCTTCTTGATACATGATGTGGTAAATTCTCAACTCAACCCTTTGCCAATGAAGACTAATCCAAGGAGCTTTCTTCAAAGTTTAGGTTTGAGTGTAACCACAACTTACTGAGTTAGATGATCTGGTGGATAGGTTTGAGAAGTCAACATTCAAAATACTCTTAAGTCAAAAGGATAGCTCACGTCTTTGATCCTAGGACTCAACAGGGCAAAGGCAGAAGGACTGCTGCAAATGTGAATTGAATCTAGGCTAAAATAGTGAGCTGCAAACTTCAGAGTTAGGCTCTGATTCAAAGAAAAAGGAAAAACACGGGAGGAGTGGAAAGACAGAAGAAAGGAAGGAAAGGAAAGGAAAAACTATTTGTAAAATATCGTGTAAATACTTATTTATTTATACATAGTATGTGTATGAGTATTTTTCCTACATGCATGTGTGGTGAACCATGTGTGTACCTGGTGTCCTTGGAGGTCAAAAGAGGGCCTCTGATCGCCAGAACCAGAGTAACATGTGCCTATAAGTTGCCATGTGCATGCCATGTGCATGTTGGGAACTGAACTTAGATCTTTTGCAAGAGCAGGGATTAGGTTTAATGGCTGAACTATCTCTCCATCCCATTGTTTTCAAAGTAAACTTTAACAGAAATCTCTATGCTACTCCTGCTGCATCAAAGACTTTGAGCATACCACCTATGTCTTCCAAGGCTGCCCAGTGAAAATGCCCAGCATGTTGGTTTGAATCTTACTATCAAAGCAGACCTAGCTTTTAATTGCAGATGTTGCATACTGAGTAGTGTGATTTGGGACAGGTTACTGACATCATTGAGCCATTTTCCTTCTCTACTCAACAAGACTAAGAATACTCATCATCTGAAATTGGAAAGTTAATAGAGACTGTGTTATAAGAACTTCCCTCAGTACTTTGTGCAAAATAGCACTCCATCAGCAGTGGTAGACCCCTGCTACTAACTCCTTTTTCCTTCTATTCTCCTTAAGCCTCACTGAAGCGTGGTGGTTGAAAGATTAAGCTCTAAGTTAACCCCGCCATTGTTTCAAACCCATTTCTTTCCTACACTTATGGCACCCAAAGAAAGTTATGTGACATCTCGGTGCCTGTTTATCGATGAAACTGTTATCATAGAAGTTCCTTCCTCCCAGCTTGATAGGAAGGTTGGGCAAATTAGTCAATAGACAGTGGAAAGTTGGCTAACACGCTGTGTGCTCAGCCGGTGCTAGCCAGTCCTGAGTTGCTGTTATAAGTTCTTTTTATTATAAATTAGCATCTGTTCTCTGCATTGTTTATTTGCCCCTTGCATCTTTTTCCAGCTTCATCACTTGTATTCTGTCACTCTATCCCCAGGAAATCTGCTTTTCTGTTTGTCTCCTCTCCCCATCTTCCTATGTCCCTCCCTCTCTTCCTCCCTCCCTCCCACCCTACTTTCTTCCCTCCCTTTGTCACACTCTTGTATACATTTCTTGCTAGGTAACTTTTAGGTCTCCATCACCAGTTCTGATTTCTTCCCAACTTTTTAGGTTTTCTTCTCTATCTGACTATCCCACCAACCTCTCAAATACACAGTTTTTGCATGATTACCATAGTCTCTCTCTCTCTCTCTCTCTCTCTCTCTCTCTCCCTCCCTTCCCCTCCCTCTGTGTCTCTAACACACACACACCCCATTAATATTCAATCTTAGCCAGTCTTTCTAGTCCAGTTGGACCCCTGTCCCTTTGTCTTAACATACCATCAGCTCAACAGTCAGAAAATGTAAATGTCCATCCTTAAGGGGCCAAGTAGAGGGGAGGGTACAGGGTGCACAGGTAGGAAGGCAAGAGGCCAGCCAGTCCAGTCCCCATCCAGTGACTCACCTATGAAGAGAACGATCCAGCTGCCTCCTTTCCCAGGGGCTTCCTGTTGGCATCTACAGAGTAGGCACTTCCTACAGAACAGGCTTTCAAGCAATGCATTTTCATTGGTGAAAGATAAAACATAGCTCCAAAATTACATAGCCTCAAGATCACTTTGGAATGTGGGTGAGTGTTGAATGTGGAGATGTCAGGCATTAGAGTAGACTCTAGGCTATGACAAGTTGACTGAAAAGGAAGTGGCACAATTGAAACAGGATCTTGCCAACAAACTTGCCCGCAAGTTGGAGGACCCTGAGGCCTGACCACCTAGAACTCCTTTCTAATACCTCCTAAATGAATCATATTTGTAAATCTGTGGGCTAATCTTTCTGATCAGTTACTACACATAATTGTGTATTAGTGAACATATATCTTGAACACGGGTCATCCTGCTTTAGCCACCAAAAGTAAGAGTTGCAAGTGTAATCATACACAACCATGTCTGGCTTCTTCCATCCTTACTTATCCTTTCACTGTGTGGGGTAGATAGCATCTTCTTACCCCTGTTTTGCAGGTGGCAGAATGAAACTGAGCCGTACATGAGGAGAGCTCAGTAGGACCTAGAGCAAGTTCCCCAGCCTGGTGTTTAGCTACAGTGGGTACCACTTTAAACCACAGTTCATTGCTGAGCACTCTCATTAATGATACTTTAAGATGAGGAAAATGAGGCTTGGAAAGGTGTAGAAACTTCCCAGAGAAAATGTGACGTTGTAGTCAGACCCATACTCAGATCCCCAGACATGAACACTGAATGTGGTAGTCTCCATCACAAGTGAATGTCAGTTTGAAGAGCTTCTCATCTCTCACAAATTATGCTTCTATGTATAAAAATGACTTTCCACACTAATGGTAGGTTGGAGCAGATTAGGGGGCACAAAACTTCAGGCTCTGCTCTTATTCAATTGTATTGTATATTACCAGCTCTGAAACAGTTGGCCAGAAGATAGAATGGTGGTATTTCATACTGTGATAATCATATACCCATGAATTTGGCTCTCTCCAGTAGTTAATTCATACTCTTTGGTTCTTGTCTCAATATTAAGACCCAGCTTTGCAAAGAAAATAAAATGATAAAATAATGTTAAATATTTAGACACATTGACTTAACCTTATTATATGGAGCTTTGTAACAGTGTCATTCTTAAACCTCGCTGTCCCACAGTTGCCTAAGCTAAAACCCAGGGCATGTGATAGTTCCCAATCACTTCAAAGCATTCAGTTGTTCTTGTTGGCGGTGATATTTTACCCGAAGAGCAGTTGATAAGATCTGCCATTCTCCATCTCTGGGAGTATTTTCTTGTTTCTGGAAAAATTAGAAAGGACACATCAAAATGAATCCAACTGCCATTAATGGTGCTAGAGATTGGGAAGTGACCACCCCACAAATCTCACATCCATCCCTCCAGGGAAAGAAGCCCAGTGTGCTGATGAGCTTCATGTCTGCTGGGTCTCTGCCATATGGTGTGGAATGAAACGTTTAGGCAGTTTCATTTTCAACGTAATGAGAAGGTTGTGAGACAGTGCAAGCTCTTGGGAAGTCTGGGTCTAGATGGATAGTTCATGGGTTTGAACTCTTCTCACTCTCTTAGGATCTGAGTGGCCCTATTCAAGTTGACTTTTCTCACCAAGATTTAATTTCCACACGTCTAAAGCTACTTGGGGAGGAAATGATTATTTGTTGTACACTTCCAGATCACAATTGATCATTGAGGAAAGTCTTGGCAGGCACTGAAGCAGAAACTATGGAGGAATGCTGATATTGGCTTTCTGCTAGGTTTCTTGTATGGTCTACAAGCACCTCTTAAGGGATGACACTACCCATAGTGATATGGGCCCTCACACATCCATCACCAGTCAGGATAATCTTTTGCAGACATTTCCATGGGCCAATCTGATTGAGAGAACCCTTAAACTTCCCTTTCACAGGTTAACTCTCAGCTGTGTCAAATTGACAGTAGAAACTGACCAGTACTGCTAAGGCAGATGTTGGTTGGTAACAAATGCATTCCCAGGTTGAACTCTGATCTTGGAGGCTTCACCTGAAACAAACCCCTCCTTTGGTAAGGTTTCTCCTCTCATTCATTATGACAGTATTCTGTACAGTGTGGTCTTTATATAAGGGGCATCAGCTATCTTATAATCTCTTTGTTAGAGGTGTAAACTGAATTAGCTCACCACACTAGACATTAGAAATTCAGGGTGGATCTCAACAGGTTGTTTTAAAAGGCCCTCTCACAGATACAGATGCATCCTAAAGTTTTCAAAACACCAGCCTAGGGTGATCACCTGGAAATCCCTTCCCTGTGACTCTCCTGATCGCTTTCAGATCAGACAAATGTCAACCACTGAGACCCAGCAAAGCTACCGTATA